CAGCTGGCTTGGTGGCTAGTGGAACACTCCTAGCTCTGCCGTGTACGAGCTGGAATTAAGTTTCTCACAGGCGCAGTGTTTCCATTCAGAAAGGGGAGGTGATTCCATTGGCCGCCTCGTGGGGTTGTGAAGGTTAAATGGTGTACTCGACATAAAGTGCTTAGCAAGTGATGTGCTGAGTGCACACACACACCCCACCCCAAAGGCCCTCCTGTGGACTAGACCCTTATATCTAAAACCACCAGGTGGAACCTACAGGAACAGATTGTGGGTGTGTGGAAAAGCTTTGAAACAGTCATGTTTAAAAAGTAATGGCCGGCCGTGGGAAGTCTGGTGTTTCTCGTCACTAAAGCATGAGTGGCTTTACTCAGCAGTTACACTAGATGATCTAGAATCATAGATGACTGGGTCTAGAAGAGAATATCTGGGATTTCTTGCTGGCAAATGAAGAAACAGTAGTCCAGGATGGTGGAGTCATTGGTACAGGATAACCTGGTTGGAAGTGGTGGACCTGGGACCAGAGCCCTGGACCTTCCACCTTGAAGGCCAGTGCTCTTTTCTCTCTCCTACATTTTCTTCCAATAAACTTCTGAAATCCTCTTGTGATATTCTGTTTTGTCTTTTCAGACACATCTGTTCTCAAGGTGTTTTTAAACAAATCAAGTAGTTTTGAAAGGATTCGGTGTATACTCTACATATTATCTGTTAGTTGAATAACAAATTATCCCAAAACTTAGTGGCTTAAAACAATAAACATTTATTAACTAACAGTTTTTATGGCCCAGGAGTCTGGGTTCCCTTATCTAGGTGCCTCTGGCTCAAGTCTTCTCATGAGGTTGCAGTCTCATCTGAAGGTTCAGCTGTGGTGGGGAGGGTCCACATTCAAGCTTACATGGTTGTTGGCAGATTCAGGTCCTTGCTACATGGGTCTCTTCCGGGGCAGCTCACAACTTGGCAGCTGACTTCTCAGTGAGAGTGAATGTGCGCACACAAGGTGGAAGCCACAGACAGCCCCCTTTGTAACCCAGTCTTGGAAGTGACAGGCTGTCACCTCTGCCTGATTCTGTGTGGGAGAAGTTAGTCACCAGCCCACCCTCAAGGGGAGTGGTTTACACAGGGCAGGCCCGGGAGGAGGGATTGCTGGGAGCATCTCCAAGGCTGCCTACCACACACTAGATAATTGTTATAAAACGAAATGAATGTACTGTTTGAGGGGAAAATAAAAATCAACCATGAGTTATTCCTGATTAAACAACTTAGTTTTTAAATCTTTCCCTTTTTTTCCTCCTCCCTTAATAGTAATCCACACTCATTGTTTTCTTTATCTCTTCTTTCTCTTTAGGGAAAAAATGCATTTTTCAAAGACCTAACATCAATTCAGTTATTACCTAGTGGAGAAATGGATCCAAATTTTATTTCTGTACGACAGCAGGTAAATCAGTTATTAGATTTTGTTTCTTGGGGGGGAAAAAAAAAGTAAAACGAAAATCTGGTTTCCCTTTAAGGGTGACCACACCCAGGGTGTTCTTGGGAGCTTGTTTCCCTTTAAATTATGTGCTCCTTTTTGATAATTAAACAATTTTAGTGGAAAAGCCACTCGAATTGACAGAAGAGCCAACAGTTACTTTGATTTAAATGTTTTTGAAGGAAAGCAGATATTAACAAGACGTTGCTATATTTCTTTCTCCATTTTCAAGTTTTTATTGAAAGTTGTTACTGCAGCTGTCCAGGCCCAGCATTCAGTTGCAGAGGACAGAGATGCCTCAGAAGAAGCAGTAACCACTCCTTTTTGGAAAGACCAAGATTGGCCGGTTCTAGCCGTGGATTTAGCTCATCACCTTCAAGTTAGTGAAGATACTGTTAGAAGACATTACGTGGGGGAACTCTACAACTACGGAGTCGACCACTTAGGAGAAGAGGTGATGATCTTATGAATGCTAACTGGGCTCAAGTTACAAAATCGATAGTTGGAGTAAAGACTCAGTAAAGTATCCAACAAAGCTTTCTGTTTTTCCTTCTGTTAGAACAGAAGATTAAAATACAAAACTGTAACCAGATATCCTGTTTCCAGTCAGTACTTAGCCAGACTCCTGCAGTGTGCCAGGCCTGTTCTGCGCACAGGGATACAGCAGCAAACGACACACGAGGCTCCCTTCTCACAAGGAACTGATACTCTTACCAGTAGGAACAAAAATTTCATATTGAGTGATAAGTGCTATGAAATAGGATGATATGAATACACAGGAGCTACTACAAGGAGCCCTGGTGATGCAGTGGTTGAGAGTTACGGCTCCTAACCAAAAGGTCAGCAGTTAGAATCCCCCAGCTGCTCCTTGGAAACCCTGTGGGGCAGTTCTACTCTGTCCTGTAGGGTTGCTATGAGTCAGAATTGACTTGACGGCAGTGGGTTTTATTTTTTTGGTTTATTACAAGGATGGTCAGAGAAGGTGACATTTGAATTGAGCCCCCAAGGATAAGAAGCAGCCAGCTACTCAGAAAACTGGGGGAGCAGCACTTGAGACAAAAGAAGTACAAATGTTCTCAGGGGGGAACTAGCTTGGCAAGGTCCAGGACCAGAAGGGCCAGTGTGGCTGACCATAATCAGCAAGGGGTTAAGAACTGTTAGATGAGGTAGCCAAGCTGGCAGAGGCCAGACCATAGAAGGTCTGAGCCTACGGTCATTCCAGATATATCCAGATGGCATTGGAGGGATTTGAGCAGCCGTGACGTGACCTCACGATTCCCTTTCTTTGCCAGAAGCTTGAAAAAGACTCCCTGCATTGTAAAATCAGGTGATAAGCAGAAATTTGGGTTTTGAACCATAAGTTTGATTTGGAGTTTACCCCGGTTGTATACATGGCCACAGCTCAAAAGCGAACTAGAATCTCTTCACTGGCAGCCCCTGTACTACAGTAAACATACCTACTAGCTTTTACTTTGTTTTTCTCCATATTCATATCCTCAGGCCATTCTACAGGTTCAGGACAAAGAAGTCCTTGCCTCTCAGCTGCTCATGTTGATAGGACAAAGGCTGGCTTACGCGCTCTTCCACACCCAGACAAGAGAAGGAATGGAGCTGCTTGCCAGGCTCCCACCCACTCTCTGTACTTGGCTGAAAGCAATGGTAAGTACAACAGAATGAGCTAAGTCAGAAGGTCATTGGGTGTTTCCATACATGCATATTTAATAACAGTAAATTTAAGGTTTAATTTAAAAGAAATAGTTCCAAGGAAAACCATTTTCATTGGGAAACCGCTTTCTAGTAAATCAGCAACAATAATTTAGTTGTATATAACTGATGGGTTATTTTTGTGTCCCATTTGCAGGACCCCCACGGTCTTCAAAACACTGCAGTGCCAATTGCAACAACAGCTAAACTAGTAAATAAAGTAATTGAGCTTTTGCCAGAAAACCATGGGCAGTATAGTCTAGCCTTACACCTTATTGAAGCTGTAGAAGCCGTATCTATTCCGTCATGACACGTACCCCTGGGTTAATGACCATGAAGACAGTCTTAAAACCGTGTGATTATAACATGAATTAGTGCATGGTTATTTCACATAGTGAGATCTAGAATTTTGTGGAGGGAGTATGTCTTTTTTTTTTTGTGAAGTAAATAAAAATGTATATTACTTTTTAGTCCTGGCTAAATTCCACTCCTTTGGTTAATACTGAAGATAAAATATAAACAAATATCCGTTACACCATAATTATTGATACAGGTGTTTTACTGTTTATTTCTAATTCAAGCACTTAAGTAGCTTTATTGTAAAATTTTGCTGTATTTAAAATTGGTTATAATTTACAGATTATGTTATTATAAGATTATATATTTCATACTCAAAACGTTATTGTAATTAAATTTGTGTGGTTCACATCCAGTCCCCATCAGTAAAGGTGGAGAAACAGGCCCACCTCCTTTATTAGTAGGTGTTGGGAAGTGCTCTTCTCAGGCTGAGTCCATGCTGGGCTGCGCCCACCCACGAGTGTGGATGCCTGCCTGGGAGTGTGGACGCCCACAGGCTCTTTCCCAGAGGTTATGCTGTTGCCATCGGAGGAGCAGGGCCTTGCTTGTGGAAGAAGAATGGGTTCAAGGTCACCATACTCATCACAAAGGACACTAGATGGAAACTTTAACCTGTTGTACTTGCCAAAACTGAGAATCTGAGATGCAGGGCCAACACAGCAAAATTAATTAGGATGTAAGTTTTGTTTTTTGTCAAGGTTCAAAGCTGTATCCACATCAGGTAATTGTAAAAATGTATTATCTTGTAAAACTTGTATAAAAAGGCAGAGATGCCAAAAATCTGAAGTCCAACTTTATTTTTCCTACAAGTGTTTAGAAATGTCTGCTCTGAGATTTGGTAAAGTTACATGTCCTTGGGATAGTACAGAAGATGCTTTAGCAAACCTACCTCACAGCTGAGTTGAGAGGATTAGACACAACTGATTCTGTACCTACAGTGCCTAGAGAAGTCCAAGAGCTGAATAAATATTTGCTGATTAAAACCAGATTAACCAAAACTCTGTAAAAAGTGCTTTGAGCTCGACAAATACCAAGTATTTATTATACCTTGGGAATGTAGCCATACAGGGCAGTTATCATGGATCACAATTGTTATTCGTAGGAACTCACTGTGATACAGAAATTTGTTTCATTTCTTGTAAGAAGCCAATTTTACCAACTGTACAAAGTCCTTCAGGGATATAAAGGAAAAAATGTGGCTGTTCAGAGATACTCCGGTGTCAGTTCTTTTCTATCACATCCAAGTAAGAACTTACCTTGCTAAAACTTAACTACAGTTTAAGTAACTATCAAATCGAAAATTTTAAAAAGATAAAATTTTTAAGCTGTCTGAGGAGTGGGGTGGGCCTGCATTTGTCTGACTGAGGTGCCCATTCTGACCAGGAGCAGCACTGAAGGGGCCTGATGTTAAGTCTTCCCTCCCAGCCTCTGCTTGGATCGCACTGTACCACCCAGACACGCTGATGGGATTTCTTGTAAATGTATCTAGCTTTATATAGTCACTTCTTATATGTGTCCTAAGAAACTGATTTTTCCTGTGATTTTTCTAAATACTCACTCAGAGCAGAATTGAGGAGGCTGGTCGAAAAAACTGGGAATTGTAGGTGTTTTTGAAGATTAAACCCTCACTTGATTCCGTTAGCACTTTTTGAGGGGCAGCTATCAGGCATTCTAGATAACAACACCGCTTAAACATATGTGACAGGACACGTACTCGATCGGAGAAGACCTGAGAGTATAAATCCACGACACAAACGATTGAGTCTCTAGAGAGAGTTGTAACCCTAAAATTTAACATTTCTGCAAATTAAAAAATTTGAATTTTGAGGTGTATGGTTACAAAAATAAAATATTTTACTGTTTCATCAAGGGCTTTTAAAATAAATCTGATGGGAAGGAAGAAAAATAAACACCTATGTAATAAGAGCCATAAGTAAAAATTAGATTTTATGTAGAGCAGTGGTTTCTGACATAAAGGGTGTGCTGCAGTTACTGATGGGAAACCAACAGCCAGGACTGTAGTTTTTCTAGATCTCTCTCTAGCCCCACATACACACCTTTCTTCATTAACATTAAACATGCACTGTGTACCTTGTTAAATTAATTCCATTATATAATGCTGAAAAAACAAAAATAGATAATCGTAACTCCTACACTAAAAGTCGTGTACAACTAGAGGGGCCATTTAAGTGTAGATGAGGAGAGAGAGAACCAGGCTTCTAAATGCCTCATAGACGAAGGGAGTTTCCCCCTTGTTACAAAAGTTCATCTACAGTCAAAGGAGAGGACACTGTTACACTGAAATTGCTTCACTTTTTTTTTTTTTTTAAAAAAACAATTCCTTTAAAATAACAGAGAAGCCAGATTTAATAGTACTACTAAGCTTATGTTGAGTATAATGTTTAGTGTGACACTCACTCGAGAAGTTGCTGTGGTCCATCTTATTTAATGTACAGCCCTCTCTCAACCTGACAGAATGGGCTTGTTGGGCTTCTGCAGTTAGATTTCTGCTGAACAGAATTGACCATGCTTAGAAAGATTTTAATCCAATCCTGAATTGTTTATAAAATGCTGTTATCTACTTAATAATGTACTGTAAGTAGTGACATTCTGTATATACTGCTATTTTCTCTGTTCGTTGTGAACTTATGTAAATTTAGTGAAATAAATTTTCAGCTTTCCGTATTGTTTTCTTAACATGCATAAATTATGCATGTAGATATTGAGGGTTTTTTCCCCCCTCTGGTGTAACAAGTTGGGTGATGCTCTTTCCAATCCAACCAAAAAGCCTAGCTATTCTGAAAATGTTGGTGGCTGCTAGTACAGCAGAATGAAATTCCCCCAAAACCACTAAAGGGAAATACTCTGCCATTCCCCTCCAAAACCACGTTTTCACGTGATATCCACAACTGCTGCACCCACATTACTCAGTAGTTTTCCAGGATGCCTTTATTTTCAGACATTACTGTGTCAAAAAGATTTATAAAATATAAAACATTTCTGCTTAGCCACATATGAAGGCAAGCATAGTGTCTATGTTCTGAATAAGTCCATTATGGGTATGTACATATACACACACACATTATTCCTTCTCTAGTTACAGGAACTACTTCCTGTGTCATTCTGATTTTGATCTGCATCCTCCCTCACTTACTCTTCCATTCACTACCTAAACCTGGGTATCTTTCCAGTACTGGGAACAAGCCACCTGAACCCCTAGTCAGTACTGTCAGTGGGGTCCTCGCTCAGAGAGCTGTTAGCATCAAAGTGAGGTCCTACTTTCCACCAACAACTTCTGCACATCGAGGGCAGAGCGTATCTGAAGACTCAGCTGTATACTTCCAACAACGAGGACACTTTTCTTTAGTAGCTGGCATGACAATGACTTTATATGAGGACTCTTCGTGAATATCACCACCTGTGAGAGAAAATGCATGAAAAACATTCTGAAAGGCCACGCGACTTGTCTCACTCACTGTTCTTCACTGGCTTAGCAGGCGCTCCTGTTTCAAAGCTTTCTCCTTCCTGCCCTGGGAAAGCTTGTTAGGTACTCGTTAGATGGTGGAATCCCACGATCTGACAAAGGAGAGGAGCTGAGGAACTGGAGACTGTGCGGTGACCCAGTGTCTCCCAGGTCACTGAGCTCTGCACCTGCTCAGGCAGCGCAGGCCGGCCAGCTCTCTGCCCAGGCGTCTCCAAGAAACCACACTCCTCTCCAGCTACTCACTTGACAGAGAATAAAACTGAGGTGTCCCCACTCCGAACTTCTGGGTTTACATAAAAGAAACAAATTTTCCCACTATTATTTAGACCTCAGATAAAATATAGTCAGGAAGGTAAATTATTTTCTTTCTGCAAAAAACATAAACTGATATTTTGAAAAGCAAGTGCTGCCCAGCCTCAAACATAAAATGACCCATGTAAACCAGCCTCCCACCTCCTGCTGGTCCTGAACACTATGATGACCACCACAGTTTCCCCTTTCCCAGGATACCTGCTTGCTTTTCCCTGTTCCTCTGCTGCTCTGCCTCCATTTCCATCAGTGAAGATGAACTAGGTTGACAAACATCCCCTATAAAACAAATACTTGCACAATACTTCCTTATGAGGTATTGCTGCAGGAATGAGTTAAAAAAAAACTTCCTTACCTCCTCGTTAAGAAAGGCTAGATGATAATAAATTTGGGTTGTGAGGAACACGGTATTTTAGGATCAGCACTGAGGAAGGGTGGGCGCGCTGAACAGAACTAGGGTACCCAGTATCAAAGGAGAGACACAAGGGAAACAGGAGTGGAAGGAGAGACACAAGGAAAACAGGAGTGCGTCCGACTAACTTCACACGGACTAACAATTTCTTAATTCAAATGAAGGAACATTTTCTCCCTCTGCCATCCCTAGCCCTCTGTTCCCAAGAGCACTGGGCAGGACTCTTGAGAGCTAGCTTAGAAACTTGGCCATTGTTCCCACAGAAAGATGTATTCCACACACATGGAAAGTTCAAGATGACCTGAATTATCATTCAATTCTCCATATACACTGGTTACTCTCACCTCCTCCTTACCTTCTAAATTGATGACGAACGTTCCTGTAAGCGCAACGGCATCGGCAGTTACCTCGCGTGGTTCCTGACTGAGTAAAGTCGTCTCGGAAGCCATCATTAATTCATTCAACTGAGAGGTGCTAGAAGTCTCCTGAGTTTGGAGCATCTGGTGGTAAGCACGTGAAGATTATCAGGAATAAACTGAGAATTTATAAAAAATAAAAAACCAAACCCCCTGCCGTCGAGTTGATTCCAACCATTAGCAACTGTATAGGACAGAGTAGAGCTGCCCCATAGGGTTTCTAAGGAGCACCTGGTGTCTTCGAACTGCCAGCCTTTTGGTTAGCAGCCAAACTCTTAACCACTAAGCCACCAGGGTTTCCAAAACCCGTTGCTGTCGAGTCAATTCCGACTCGTAGTAACCCTACAGGACACAGGAGAACTGCCCCGTAGGGTTTCCAAGGAGCGCCTGGTGGATTCAAACTTGGGACCTTTTGGTTAACGGCTGTAGCTCTTAACCACTACATCACCAGGGTTTCCGTATTATAAAAATAGACGCTGTAAATTCTTTTGTGAGGAACCTCTTGTATCATTATGTCCTGAGTTTATACTATTAAATACATCAGTTCTTACTACTCTGTGAAGTTTTAACTGAAATCTTCCAACAGTATTATTGAAAATATGCTCTGTGTCAGGCACTTGCTAGATGCTAAGTGTCCATTATTTCTGTCGTTACAAAAAATCATACACAGTGTTTACTATTCTCAAAGAGGTTAACCTGCTCAAGTTTCTCAACCAGTGAGTGGTGGAGTTGGTGTTCAAGCCCAGTCTATCAGGCTCAAAGCTTGCGCTTTATTTTCTGTGCCATGCTTCCTAGATGAGGGGTTAAGATGCTATAAAACAAAAACCTGCTTTTAGCAATGCAGACCAATGGGGGCAATCTGAAAAAATGCAGAGCTTTTTGCAAGTACACCGAATTTGGATGTTTGATAATAATACTTTAAATGAATATAGCACTTTTAAAAGCAAGTGAGAACAGTGGAGTGAAATATTTAGTGTTGAAAGAAAATAACCACCAACCTAGAATCCTCTATCTAGAGAAATTACCTTTCAGAAATGAAGGAGAAATAAAGACATTCTCAGGAAAAAACTGAGGGAATTTATCACCAGGAAGGAGACTTGCCTTGCAAGAAATGTTAAAAGCAGCTCTTCAGAGAAAAGGAAAATTATACAGGTCAGAAAGATGGGTATACATATAGAAAAGAAAAGTGTTAGAAGGAGTAAGTGAAAGTAAAATCCTTTATTTTTCTTAATCGATCTAATAACAATTTGTTCAAAATAATAATAGCAACAGTGTATTGAGTAAAAGGGGGAAGAACCTCAATGAAATGGACTGACACAGTGGTTGCAACAGTGGGTTCAAACATAGCCAATAATGTAAGGATGGCGCAGGACCCGGCAATGTTTTGTTCTGTTGTCCACAGGGTAGCTGTGAGTTGGAACTGACTCAATGGCACCAACAACGATTGAGTGATAATGGTTTTCGGATACGTGAAATGTACAGCAATGTAATAAGGGACAGCAACATAATAACTGGGAGAGTCTAAGGTACTTACACTACCCGTGAACCAGTGTAATGTTAACTGAATGTACACTTAGATTAGTTGTAAATGTACGTTGCAAACTCTAGGGCAGCACTAAAAGAATTTAAAAAAACAGAAGTATAATTAATACACTAAGGACAGAAAATGGAATCATATAAAATGCTTAATTAAAACCAGAGAAAGGCTGAGAAACAGTGAAGTCGAAGCAAAGAGCAAGGATAACAAAGTAGTTAGAAATATGGTAGATACTGATCCAACTATATCGAAAATCATTTAAATGTCCGTGATCTAAATACACCAGTTAAAAGATAACTGTGAAGAGTTTCAGAATGTATAAAAAGACCAGACCGACTATATGCCGGCTACAGAAACCTACTTTAAAGACAGAGAAAAATTAAAAGTAAAGGGACGGAGGAAGATACATCCCATGC